CCCCTACATCTCCGCCCGTGGCGGGACACCACTATACCACACTGTAGTGACTATTGGGTCAAGACCACAGAGAGGGGAGGGTGAAATTCCACCTCTCTCCCCCCTGCCATTTTTGCTCTCTTGTTGTCCCTCTTCATGGCAGCTGTGTGTTGTACAGGGAACCATACGGACGTCTATATGTTTTCCCCGGTGGTCTTAACAGCCAGGGGAGGGGATTGATATTGCATTGAGACAAAAACTCAAACTCCCCCTCTTTCAAATCACATGGGATGGGAGGGGCACACTTGCCATCTACCTATAAAAAGGTGCAAGAGGGATTAATTCCTTCTAGTCTGACTCACGAGTTCTTTTGTTGTTCAGTTGCACAGTCAAGTCCGACTCTTTGCGACCCCATGGACCACATCGTGCCTGTCTTCCATCGTCCCCTGGAGTTTGCTTAATTTCATGTTCGTTGCATCGGCAACACTGTCTAACCATCTCATCTTCTGCCATCCCCTTCTTCTTTGACCTTCAATCTCTCCCAGCATCGACTCAAGAGTTCACTTTCACATTTCACAGAAACACCCTAACCCTGTGAAGCTCATGCAGAAGTGGAAGCCTCCTTTTGCCCACATAGGAGGATTTTTGGATCTAATCCTTTGTATTTAGGAATAACAATAACTTTGGGATGAGACCATGGCTCTGTGCTTTGGGTGCAGAAGGTCTTGGGTTCATTCCCTCTCACCTCCAGTTAAAAGAACCAGGTATCAGGTGACGTAACACTTTGCAGAGCCAGTTAAAGTAGAACATAGGAGGAGAAGGAGGAGGAGGAGGAGAAGGAGGAGGAGAAGGAGGAGGAGATTGGATTTATACCCCGCCCTTCACTACCCAAAGGTGTCTCAGAGCGGCTTACAAACTCCTTTCCCTTCCCCTCCCCACAACAGACACCCTGTGAGGTAGGTGGGGCTGAGAGAGACCATGGCTCTGTGCTTTGGGTGCAGAAGGTCTTGGGTTCATTCCCTCTCACCTCCAGTTAAAAGAACCAGGTATCAGGTGACGTAACACTTTGCAGAGCCAGTTAAAGTAGAACATAGGAGGAGAAGGAGGAGGAGGAGGAGAAGGAGGAGGAGAAGGAGGAGGAGATTGGATTTATACCCCGCCCTTCACTACCCAAAGGTGTCTCAGAGCGGCTTACAAACTCCTTTCCCTTCCCCTCCCCACAACAGACACCCTGTGAGGTAGGTGGGGCTGAGAGAACTCTTGACAGAAACTGCTCTTTTTCGAGAACAGCTGTGCCAGAGTTATGGCTTGCCCAAGGTCATCCAGCCAGGTGCAAGTGAAGGAGTGGGGAATCAAACCCGGTTCTCCCAGATTAGAGTCCGCGCACTTAACCACTACACCAAACTGGCTCCAAACATCAGAGAAGCCAATGTTGGATCAGGCCAATGGCCCATCCAGTCCAACACTCTGTCACACAGTGGCCAAAAAATACCAGGGGCCATCAGGAGGTCCAGCAGTGGGGCCAGGACACCAAAGGCCCTCCCACTGTTGACCCCCCCCCCAAGCACCAAGAATACAGAGCATCCCTTGCCCCAGACTGAGAGTTCCTATCTATACCTTGTGGCTAATAGCCACTGATGGACTTCTGCTCCATATGCTTATCTATCTAGAAGATACTGTTCTTGATAGACCAACAGTCTAACTTACTATAAGGCACCTTCATGCCTTATGTTCCAAGGTTTGGCATTTTTCTTTTTAAAAAGATAAAACGCTTATCAGCATGGCTACAGTGTGCGGGGGGGAATTCAAATGAATGCTCACAATAATTATTGAAAGGTCAAGAAGAAACCCTGTTTGAAGAAGCACCCGCTCGTCAGCCGGAAAAATATTTCTTCCCCAACACAGAATTACAACCAGCTAAAGAGTGTTCTCAGGTCTAATGTTCATTTACAAGAATTAGTATGTACATCTGCCGATGATCATGTGGGTTGTTATCTTGCCACCTCATGAATCCACCTGAACAATTCCATGATTTGACATCCTCTTTTTTTGGCCCAAGCAATTAGGATGTTTGTGTTATGCTCTCAGGGAGCCAGACTTTAGATACCTTCCATCACTGAGTTCCGATTTTCAAAAAGTTGAACCATGGAGACTGTCTGGCCATGTGTGTGTCTATGCTTGTCCCTGAAAGTGGCATGCTTCTGCAACTTCCTACAGAAAGTTATTAAAGACTTACAGGATAAGAACTCTCCAGGGCTCCCAGAAAAGAAGGAGACATTGCAATGGGAGTGTTTTTTTAAAAACAGAAGAAGAAGAGAAGGATTGGATTTAGACCGCATCCTTCACAACCCAAAAAAATCCTTTACAACCCAAAAAAAATCCTTTACAACACACAGTGAAGATTAGCATTGGCAATGATAAACATTCCTGGCAAATACTCCAGATAGCATGTTGCCAGCCAGGAATGTGATAAGTATACTGTGGGTAAAAGGTAAAGGTTCCCTTGCTCGAAAGCCAGTCGAGTCCGACTCTAGGGTTGCGGTGCTCATCTCCGTTTCAAAGCCGAAGAGCCAGCGCTGTCCGAAGACGTTTCCGTGGTCATGTGGCCATGGGCATGACTAAACACCAAGGCGCACGGCACGCTGTTACCTTCCCACTGAAGTGGTCCCTATTTATCTACTTGCAATTTCTTGCTTTCGAACTGCTAGGTTGGCAGGAGCTGGAACTAGAGATGGGAGCTCCCTCCGTCATGCAGCACCCGGGTCTCGAACTGCTGAACTACCGACCTTCCACAGCCTGCAGTTCAGCGTCTTAACCACTTGAGCCACCGCAGCTCCATATTGTGGGAATCAGGCCTAGATTCAAATTTATATATACCAGAAGAGAACAGTTCTGGAGGGACATACAAAGAGCTTTTTTTGTACGCTGCATTTTTGTGATGATGCCTTGAAATTCTGCAGCCGTTAAGACTAAGATAGGCTTACCTTTTGCAAACATAGGGAGGATATCAGGGCTGCCCCAACTCCAAGTGTATTTAATTTCATTGAAAAGTGAATCAAATTCCACTGGGTTTTCTTTCCATCCTGTTAGTCAAGAGTTACATTGTTACTGCGGGGTTTTTTTTAAATTAAATTTTATTAAATAGCAACATATTACAAAAGAAGCAATCTTCAAACATCAATGTCCTGTGTCAAAAATATAAGTACCAAAATCAAACACTATCCACTTATATAATACAATAGAGAGAGAGCACTTAAATGAAAGACATGAAAGAAATGAAAGACATGAAATGCATGCAATATACGGAAGTGGCATCTACCAAACGCTCACATGCGTGAGGCACAGGGCTCTTTTTGTAGAAAAAGCCCAGCAGGAACTCATTAGCATAATAGGCCACACCCTGACACCACAGCTCATTAGCATATTAGGCCACAGCCCCCTATTGCCAGAAGTGTGCTCATCCAGCCACACCCACCTTTTGCTTCTTATTCTGTTTACCTTGTTTGTGGTCAAAACCCAGGACCTTTTTTTGTAGCAGGGACTCTTTTGCATGTTAGGCCACACACCCCTACTGTAGCCAATCCTAATGAGTTTCTGCTGTTGGGTGTGGCCTATTATGCTAATGAGTTCCTGCTGGGTGTGGCCAACTTGGGAGCCAGCCGGAACTCCGTTCCTGTGTGTTCCTGCCCAAAAATAGCCCTGGTGAGGCAGATCTTCAGTGCACAAGCAAACGTTGGCTATTTTTAAAGCACTTGTTATATGTTCCAAGGTTTGGCATTTTTCTTTTAAAAAAGATAAAGCGCTTATCAGCATGGCTACGGTGTGCGGGAGGGGGATTCAAATGAATGCTCACAATAATTATTGGAAGGTCAAGAAGAAACCATTGTTTGAAGAAGCACCCGCTCTTCAGCCAGAAAAAACATTTCTTCCCCAACACAGAATTACAACCAGCTAAAGAGTGTTCTCAGGTCTAATGTTCATTTACAAGAATTAGTATGTACATCTGCCGATGATCACGTGGGTTGTTATCTCGCCACCTCATGAATCCACTTGAACAATTCCATGATGATTTGACATCCTCTTTTTTGGCCCAAGCAATTAGAATGTTTGTGTTATGCTCTCAGGGAGTGAGACTTTAGATACCTTCCATCACTGAGTTCCGATTTTCAAAAAGTTGAACCATGGAGACTGTCTGGCCATGTGTGTGTCTATGGTTGTCCCTGAAAGTGGCATGCTTCTGCAACTTCCTACAGAAAGTGATTAAAGACTTACAGGATAAGAACTCTCCAGGGCTCCCAGAAAAGAAGGAGACATTGCAATGGGAGTGTTTTTTTAAAAACAGAAGAAGAAGAGAAGAAGAGATTGGATTTAGACCCCATCCTTCACAACCCAAAAAAATCCTTTACAACCCCCAAAAAATCCTTTACAACACACAGTGCAGATTAGCCTTGGCAATGATCAACACTCGTGGCAAATACTCCAGACAGCATGTTGCCCGCCAGGAATGTGATAAGTATATTGTGGGCAAAAGGTAAAGGTTCCCTTGCTCGAAAGCCAGTCGAACCCGACTCTAGGGTTGCGGTGCTCATCTCCGTTTCAAAGCCGAAGAGCCAGCGCTGTCCGAAGACGTTTCCGTGGTCATGTGGCCGGCATGACTAAACACCGAGGCGCACGGAACGCTGTTACCTTCCCACCGAAGTGGTCCCTATTGATCTACTTGCAATTTCTTGCTTTCAAACTGCTAGGTTGGCAGGAGCTGGAACTAGAGACGGGAACTCACTCCGTCATGCGGCACACTCGGGTCTCGAACTGCTGAACTACCGACCTTCCACAGCCTGCAGTTCAGCGTCTTAACCACTTGAGCCACCGCAGCTCCATATTGTGGGAATCAGGCCTAGATTCACATTTATATAATACCAGGAGAGAGTTCTTGAGGGACATACAAAGAGCTTTTTTTGTATGCTGCATTTTTGTGACGATGCCTTGAAATTCTGTAGCCGTTAAGACTAAGATAGGCTTACCTTTTGCAAACATAGGGAGAATATCAGGGCTGCCCCAACTCCAAGTGTATTTACTTTCATTGAAAAGTGAATCAAATTCCACTGGGTTTTCTTTCCATCCTGTTAGTCAAGAGTTACATTGTTACTGCGGGGGTTTTTAAATTAAATTTTATTAAACAGCAACATATTACAAAAGAAACTATCTTCAAACATCAATTTCCTGTGTCAAAAATATAAGTACCAAAATTAAACACTATCCACTTATATAATACAATATATAGAGAGCACTTAAATGAAGAGAAGAAGAGATTGGATTTATACCCCGCCCTTCACTACCCAAAGGTGTCTCAGAGCGGCTTACAAACTCCTTTCCCTTCCCCTCCCCACAACAGACACCCTGTGAGGTAGGGGGGGCTGAGAGAGCTCTTAACAGAAACTGCTCTTTTTCAAGGACAGCTCTGGAAGAACTATGGCTTGCCCAAGGCCATCCAGCCAGGTGCAAGTGGAGGAGTGGGAAATGAAACCAGGTTCTCCCAGATTAGAGTCCGCGCACTTAACCACTACACCAAACTGGCTCCCTTCATGAAAGACATGAAAGAAATGAAAGACATGAAATACATGAAATACATGCAGTATACAGAAGTGGCATCTACCAAACGCTTACATGCATGAGGCAGATCTTCAGTGCACAAGGAAACGTTGGCTATTTTTAAAGCACTTGTTATGCTGACCTTGCTAACAATGAACAAGTGTACCTCAGTATCTACTTTAATCGAAAAGAGCAAGAGTCAAGCCAAAGTAAGGGCAGAAGGACTCTGAAAATTGCTCTTTGAAGAAATGCTCAGAAGGCCCTCTCAAGATAACTAATTTACTAACATAGAAGCAGTGCAAAGCAAGAACTCTACAAGTATATTGTTTTATTAACAAAGGTAATACTAACATTTAGCTTAACTGGGTTATGATCTCTCACTCTTGGGTTTTTAGTTAGTGTGGGTATCTTTCCTTTATCCATAGATGTAGTCCCTTCCTATTTTTTCTTTGTAGTTTTGTAGTCTATTGAAAAACAATAAAAATACCCCCTTGGGGGTTTCAAAAAAGAAAAGAAAAGAAAAGAGCAAGAGTCCAGTAGCACCTTAAAGACTAACAAAACACTTTAATCGAGGGCTGCATCCACACCTCACCGGATATTGTGTCCCTGTTGTGGTACTGCCTATCACTAAGCATTCACAACTTTTCAAATACTAATTTGAGTCTAGAACGTGGGGCAAGAACGTTTGAGCAAACTTGGCCTAGTTTAAAGCAGTAGCAACAATGGACGGATCTTCCCTAAAAATCTTGAACCTTAAGATGAATGCATCTAGCAGATGACCAGTGTTCCCCCTAAGCTGAGTTAGTGTGAGCGAGCTCACAATTTTTTAGCCTCAGTCTCACACATTTTTGTCTCGGCTCAGGAAAGATGGCTCCAGAGCAAACTAATTGATGCAGCAGCCAAATCGCTCGCTCACAACTTTCATGCCAGTAGCTCACAAAGTAGGATTTTTGCTCACAAGACTCCACGGCTTAGAGGGAACATTGCAGATGACATTATTTAACAGAAGAGAAACATTTTTACACTCAGTCAATACAAACTCGTTTGGATCCACAGGCTATTGGCATACCTCTGGCAACAGCACTGACATCTTCATAAAATCCCGCTATGAGAGCGACATGCCCCGGTCTAGATTCTGTTGGGACGCGAGTATGAGATACTCCCCAGCTGCCTTTGGATGTTATGACATTCCTGAAAATAAAATACCGGGAGAATAGGTGCATAGTATACAAAGGTGATAAGCAGAGGCAGGTTACGATAACTCTTGCCTATGGATTCTGCTGCTACATTTACGGTACTTTAAAAACAATTCTACCCAGGGCTTTTTTTGTAGAAAAAGCCCAGCAGGAACTCATTAGCATAACAGGCCACAGTTCATGAGCATATTAGGCCACACCCCATGCCTTCCCTTCCCTTGCCCGGCACCCCGTAGCTGTGGGGAGCCCAGGCAAGCCGGCCCTTGGACAGTCCAGGGAAGGCACGGGGAGGCATTTAAATGCCTCCCCGATCCTTCCAGGGCCCCCCTTGGCCCGCCTGCCTCGGAGTCACCGGGGGGGGGGTGTTCTCCAGGCCTTCCCTGTGTAGCCAGGCACGCAGAGGTTTTGGCTGTAGTGGGCGTGGCCAACTCTGAAGCCAGCCGGAACTCCGTTCCTGTGCGTTCCTGCCCCAAAGATAGCCCTGATTATACCCCACCTCTGAAAGGCAGAGGTCTGAAATGTCCGTGAGAGAGGAGCCAATCAAAGCCACGCTCCAAATCACCCAATAGGAATTGTACCAGAAAAATTTAAGATCTGACGGGGTGAGGCTGTTAGTCAGACGTTAGATAACAGGGTCTGAGACAGAAGGGTTATTCTAATAGGAATTTGAGGAGATATCAAATCTTAGGTTCAGTTTGCTTGGCCGGAAAAATGAGTGCACAAGACAGAGGTGTTACGGTATTCCAACAGGTTCAATGGGTCTGATGTGTAACTTAAATACAGTAGAGTGCTATATTTGCACATTATAAACCTGCTTTTCCTTGGATGTGTACTGTTTGAAGCATCCCACAAATCCTACTTAAGGGGTTAATGTTTACCTCAGTTATAGTGGGTTTTTTTCTAAATAAACTGTCTCCATTCACTTTTGAAAAGCAGACTCTCTCATGCCTGCCAGTTTTCAAGGTCGGGGGTGGGTAGGGCTGCCAAGTGGGGGCGGGTGGCGGGTAATCCCCCGCTTTGGAGGCCCAATTTCCGACGCCGCGGAATCGGGCCCCGGGGGGAACCCCACCCCTGCGTGCGCGTCACCAGGAAGTGACGTGGGCACACCGGGGGCGGGGCCACGGCCATACAAGGGAAAACTCTATGGTTTTCCCTTGTATGGCTGTGGGGCCGCCCCCAGCGTGCCTGGCGTCCGCCTGTCACTTCCGGGTGACGTGCATGCAGCGCGAAGAAACACTTGGCAACCCTAGGGGTGGGCTTTTTACCCAGGCCCAGATTCTGTGTCCTCAAGCCCTTTTTGATTTCTCACTGGAAACCATAGTGAAGTAAATAAAATAAAAAAGTGTGGAGATGGAAGGAACTTTAATATATTTTGAATCTACTAGGCTCACTTCTGTAAACAAGAGGGGAGACCTGCCGGGACTTGCAGAGGAAGAGAAAATCCCACCACCCCCCAACACACACACACACACACACACACACACACACTGGCTCGGTCCTGCCCTTTGCCCCTCCAGCTGCCTGCTTGTCTCCCTTCCCTACCTACTCGTACCCACTTACCCTACCCTCACCCACAACCCAAACTAGACAACACGGAATCCTCCGCTTCACTGTTGCAGGGAACCTCCAGAGGGGTGTGCTGCCCTTTCCAAGGCATCAGGTGCCAGGGTCGTGAACCTTCTCCAGATTCCCCAGAACTCTGTATGCGGAGGGGCAGCAGCCTTCGTGCTGTTATCAAAGGTTGCCCTGGCAACCCAAACTAGCACCACAGAGCTCAAAGTCTTTTCACAAGATCTTGGGTGTCAAAGAAAGTCCTCACCTATGCAGACATTGCTGTTAACTTCCTCCTAACTGGGTTATGAGCACGGATTCTAATCTGGGAGAACTGGGTTTGATTCCCTACTCCTCCACATGCAGCTGCTGGTGTGACCTTGGGTCAGTCGCAAGTTCTTTCAGAGCTGTTCTCTCAAGAGCCCTCTCAGCCCCACCTACCTCACAGGGTGTCTGTTGTGGGGAAGGGAAGGGAAAGGAGATTGTAAGCTGCTCTGAGACGCCTTCAGGTAGTGAAGGGTGGGGTTTAAATCCAATCTCCTCCTTCTCCTCCTCCTCCTCTTCTTCTTCTTCTTCTTCTACTCCTCTATCCCCTTCTATTTTAGCTTCCAGAGACTTGTCTGCAAGTATGGGGCTGTAGAAAGTGTTGTCAGAGTCCTAGGTGGCTCCACGGTGTGAATTTTTTGATCCGCAGTGGTGGGTGTGGGGAGGCACATGGCTATTAGATACACAGATAAGGTCATTTGGGCAAATCTGCATAGTTTGATTCATCTTGCCCTAACTGCAGAACTCAGTTTTCCCCTCATTACAAAATTTGGTCTTTCTAGAGCAAATCCCATCTCCAGCTCTATGAAACAAATGATACATGTTTGTACCTCTGGCATTAGGAAGATTGGAGGGAGGAAGAAAGACTAACTCACCTTAGGTAAGGAGCCATAGAAGTGCCGTTGTTATCCAGTTCGTAGAGGGAATCTGCACGTAGGCCGTCGGCGACAAAAAGTACTAAGCGCCGTGCGGGTGGTGGCAGCGTTGTCTGATGAGGAGTCATGCCATGAACCAAAGGAGAAGTGAAGTAAATGTCGAAAATAGAGATCAGGAACACACAGTGCACCAGGAGGCCAGCAACTATGAAGATTGGCATATTCATGGCGACGGGCTGTCATCAGAGAAAAGTCCAGAACTAAGCAGATCAAAACAATTGTAGATGGTCAGTCAGGCAAAGCATTAACAGCATACCAAGTGGATATAATCCACGGCATACAAAAAGAAAATGAGAATAATTATTTGTAGCTTACTGCTTAGAGGCTCCGATGCACAACAGAAAATGCCAAAGAACAAGAGTACACTGTATATATTAATATTTATTTCTGCCCAGGAAAATGCCAAAGAACAAGAGTACACATTTTAAAGAACTGTATATATTAATATTTATTTCTGCCCATTGAGTAATAATGGGGAAAAAAAGCTTTACAAAACTGACAAATTTATATGCCACGATAAGACTGCAAACCTAAGAACACTTCCCTGGGAGCAAGTAGTGAATAATGTGAGACTTACTTCTTCTTCTTCTTCTTTTATTTTAACACAAGTAAAGAACAGACAAAACATACGTACATATATGGGGGGAAATTCTTACAGAGTTTACATTGTCTTGCCCTATCTCTAACATTTCTCTCTATACCGTATAACTAACATAATATTTCATTTGCTAATAGATATGAGTCCTCAAGTGCTACCTCTGTATTAGACTGCTGGTTATTTATAATTTGAATTACCGAAGTCTTCATACCATCTGTAAAATCTTGCCCAAGTAGTTTCAAAAGTATTTTCTGTGTGGCCTTTCAACTATAAAGTCAGTTTGTTAGAAGTTACCTATAGATATGTGTAAAGGGGAAAAAAGAAGGGTGGGATGAAGAAGATCTAAGAAATGAGCAGGAGGTTGGAGCACTGTGGGAAGCCGCACGGGGGGGGAGGGGGGAGGGTAGGATGTATAAGTATAAAACTTCGTGATTTATGTTTGACTTTGTTTATTATATCCTAATAAAATGTGTTTTTTAAAAACAAAACTATAAAGTCAGTTTGTCCAATTCCGCTGCTTCAAGAATTTTGTTGATAACGTCTTCTATGGTTGGGACCTCAGGTCGTTTCCAATATTTAGCATGTAAAATCCTAGCTGAAGTAGTTATGTACATTATAAGATAAAGGTCATATTTTTTACAAGTAGCTGGCAAGATTTTCAACAACAATACTTCTGAGGAAACGGGTAGGGAACATTTTAAATTTTTTGGTAAAATCTCATAGACCCAAGCACAATATCTTTTTTTTTTTTGCTTTGTCGCAAAACCACCACATATGGTAGAAGGATCCCACTTTGTTTTGACATTTCCAGCATGTATTTGAACATTTATTATCATATTTGGCTAATTTCTCAGGGGTAATATACCATCTATAAAACATCTTTTAGATATTTTCTTTGTATGAAGTTGCTTTTGTAATCCTTATATTAAGGGGGGGAAAACGTGAGGCTTACTTCTGAGCAGACCTGCGCAGGATCGCCTTCTACGTGCATTTGTCCTTAAGATGCTACAAGACTGTTATTACATAGATTTCAGAATTTCACTAAACTTTTATTGTTCCCCTGATGACCCTCGATGGGTTGCTCATGATCCAACATGGGTGCTTTTTTGCAGCACAGCAGAGTATCAGTGTTAGAAGAAATGAAACAAATGCTCAAATGTTGTTGGAGCATACAGGTTTCTTCAATAAAATCCACTTCTGTGTCTGATCCTGTCTTCTTCGAACTGTTGGATTCAACTGAAACAAAACAAAACTGGGGCCAATATAGAACCAATAATACACTCTAAAACATGAGTAGTATGCTGAATACAATTGCTTTATACTAGATAGTTACTATAAAGTATACAAAATTTCCCCAAATATTTACAACAATAAGAATACAATGGAATGTCAGTGGCTGCCAACAGCCCCAAGATAACAGTGGAATTCCTAAACAGTTACTGTTGGCAGTCAAAAAAGTATAAGGCTTAATGAGCTAGAAGCTACTGGAGCTTGACGAAGCAGCCGGCTTACACTTGGTTTCATCTAGTGACTTCCTCATAAGCAGCTTAACTGATGTTGTATATAAGTTTTCTTAATATGTGTATTTTCCTGGTTTTTAAGATACTTCTCTAGAGTTGCCACCTTTAATATAGGGACTAGCCCTTATTTCCTTGGACCATATCTCCTATGGGACCTGTACTTGATCCACTAGCCCTGAGACAATAACCTTATAACCACTTGCTACAATCGCTGGTTTAATCAGAGGCGGATTCCAGTGGAGACTGTGGGAATCTTTAATAAGTGACCCAAATGTTGTTCCTGTGTGCGGTTGTCCCCTCCCAGGACCTTCCAAAGGCCGCTTACAGATTTCTCCCGGCCAGTTTGGCCAGTGATCCTGGTGGAATTTTGCCATCTTCTGGGCATGGAGCAGGGGTCACTGGGGGTGGAGGGGGGAAGGTATTTGTGAATTTCCTGCATTGTGCAGGGGGTTGGACTAGATGGCCCTGGAGGTCCCTTGCAGCTCTATGATTCTGTGACTCCACTCCAGTGTGGTCGTGTTGCCTCCCTTCAATTTCAGCCTTTTGTTCTGGGATAGCTAGAAACTGGTTTATTTAGTTTGGTGTAGTGGTTAAGTGCGTGGACTCTAATCTGGGAGAACCGGGTTTGATTCCGAATCCCCTCTCCTCCACTTGCACCTGGCTGGATGACCTTGGGCAAGCCGTAGTTTTGATAAGAGCTGTTCTTGAAAAAGAGCAGTTTCTGTCAAGAGCTCTCTCAGCCCCACCTACCTCACAGGGTGCCTGTTGTGGGGAGGGGAAGGGAAAGGAGTTTGTAAGCCGCTCTGAGACACCTTTGGGTAGTGAAAGGCGGAGTATAAATCCAATCTCTTCTTCTTCTTCTTCTTCTTAATGCAAAACACAGAGAAATGTCAATCTAGGACAAGGGACCGGAGCAGGCAGGGACAAAATGGATGCAGAGCGGTAGCACCTAGTTTGTTTTTCCCCCCACGTCAAGTCACAACCAACTGATGTCGACCCCCATAGGATTTTTGTGCTGTCGTGGCTGGCTGCCACAGAGACCACACACTGGAAGCTTGTAAACACAGTCCAGAATCAAGGCCAGTCAGAGCCGAAAGTCAAAGAGCCAGAAAGTCAATTCAAGGTTGCAAGGACAAGGAGTGGGTGCTACACACACGCAGGAGCAGGTCTGAGTGAGCAAAGTTGCTGCCGCCGTTGAACCAGGTGCACTGAGTGCTTTTGAGCAGGTCCTTCCTTCCCTGGGGTTGAGTCTGCAAAGGCTTACAGCTCTTCCCCCTGCCTCTGCAGGAGCTGGAGTCTGGCACTCCTTCTTCGCTCCTGCATAGTCAGCCTCTGGCATGCCCTACGTCTGGGGCACTCGGGAGAACTGGGTGGGGAGTCTGGCCTCGGGGTGTTTGCAGCTGGGGGTGCTGGGCCAGGCTCAGGATCGGCCTCTCCTTCTGGCTGCACCTCCTGTGCAGCTGCTGGGGACTCCTCCTCCTCCTCAGGTAGAGTTGAGGGTTCTTCTTCTAGGCTGACTCCAAAGGAGGCTGGGCTGCTCCCTGCTTCTTCCTCATCTGAGGAGTGGTCAGCCTCAGCAGACCTAAGAACCCACAACAATTTTCAAGGTTCAGAGGTGGTTTGCCATTGCCTGCCTCCATGTCACCACTCTGGCATTCCTTGGAGGCAGTGTTCCCTCTAAGCTGAGTTACTGTGAGCTAGCTCACAGGTTTTTTTAGCCTCTGGCTTGCACGTTTTTTGTCTTGGCTCGGGAAAGACCGCTCTGGGGCAAACTAATTTATGCAGCAGCCAAGTCGCTCGCTCACTACTTTAACGCCAGGAGCTCACGAAGTAGAATTTTTGCTCACAAGACTCAGCGTCTTACAGGGAGCCTTGCGTGGAGGTCTCCCCCATCCAAATACTAGCCAGGGCCGACCCTGCTTAACTTCCGAGATTGGCCTAGCCTGGGCCATCCAAACCACAGCAGCACCTAGGATACAAGATGCTTAACAATAGTTTCACTCTGTGTTCCAGTTCCCAGGAAGCAGAAAGCAAAACGACGTGATGGCAGAGGGAAAGCAAAGAAAGGTTATTGGCAGTCAACAGAGCTGTTGCCCAGGTTACACCGATTTGTATATGGGCCAGAGGGTATCACATGACCCATCCGGGCCTATGGGTTTCAGTTTTCCTTGACAGCAGATTCTGCTGAGGTTCCTCCCTCCTTGGGCCAGAACCAGGGCTATTTTCAAGACCCAATGGAACACTGGGTCTTGAACCCGATCGTCTGATGGGGCAGCATTTCCGTTTGCAGAAGAAGGGGCTGTAATTCCTGTCGGCTCCTCTCCGCTACTGCAGGCCCTCCCGTTCCGCATCCCGTGTTGCTCGCAAGGGTCTGCTGACCACACGAAACTGGGGAGGGAGGGAGGGGCTCAGTACACAGAAAAGCACCATTTGGCGAAGTCTGCAGACGGTGGGATCCACGACACTCTCCTTCCCTCAAGCAGATACGGCCTTACTGGATCGGGAACGGTTCCAGGGGGTCAGCCGTGTTGGTCTGAAGCAGCAGAACAGATTACCTTTAAGTACGGGTCATTTTGTAGAAAAAGGGGTGCAGGAGCTCATTAGCATAACTCATTAGCATGGCTTATTTGCATAAGCCACACCCCCTGACATCACCGGAAGTGTGTCAGAAGGCAACACCCACCGCTCAGGCTCCACTGGACTGTTTTGGATTGCTAGCTATTGTGGGGGGAGGGGATGTGCAGATCTGTCCTCACAGAGGAGGGAGAGCTCATTCCTGAATAAAACTTGGTCTTAAAGGTGTCACTGGACTGTTTTGGACCAGGGGGGCATGGGGGCTCTGCAACTTACCTGGCTGCTTCTTGCTCTGACTGAGGGCTGCTGGGAGCAGGGGGTGGGGCTTGTTGCATGTGCCCGCCCCCTGGGCTCTTTACTGCCGGAGCTCCGCTCCTGTGCACTCCTGCAGGAAATGACCCCTGCCTTTAAGACCGACAAAGGTTTGTTCAATGTACGAGCTTTCGTGTATGCCACTGGACTCTAAACTGGATTGCGAACAAACACTGCATTTATTTTGA